CAAGATAAGTGTACTCTTAAACCCCTTCACCTATTTCACCCATCCCCCACCCACCTTCCCTCTGGTAACCATCTGTTTGTTCTCTATAGTTAAGATACTTCTGGCCACAGGCCCTTTATATTGCAAATGGTCATTTACTGGATTTTTGTATCATTTACTAGATTATGGTATCATATGTATTCCATCATACAGATATAGATTTGTAGGTGTTTCACTTGTTCACTTTAAGTTCCTTTTATACTCTATTAATTGATTTTTCTAGATCAGGGTTTGTCAACCTTGGGGCTAGACATTTTGGATGGGTAGTTCTTTGTTATTCGTGGGGAGGCTGTCCTGTGAGTTCTAAGATGTTGAGCAGCATCCCAGGCCTCTACCAGGTAAAGATGTCAATTGCACCTAAACCCTCCAGTTGTGACAAAAATGTCTCCGGACATTGCCAATGTCCCTTGGAGGCCAAAATCACTCCCATTTGGGAACCAGACTAGACCACTTCTGTTTAACAGAAACATAATGCAATTCACAAGTGTGAGCCTCAGGAGTAATTTTAAATTTTCTAGTAGTTACATTAAATAAAAGTAAAAAGAAATTAGCAAAATAAATTGTGATGATTTTTAACTTAACCATATATACTCAAAGGGTTATTTTAACATGTAACAAGATAGAAATTATTCATGAGATATTTTCAGTAGTTGTTTTGCTTTTATTTTAACTCTGGTGTGTATTTTGCACTCACATCACATCTCAGCTTGGACAGGGCTCAGTTGCCACACATGGCCAGTGGCCACCTTGTTGGACAGCACAAGACTAGTGGACTGGGAGTTTGTGTCCCTCCAAAATTCATAGGTTGAAGAGGCAGTTCAAGATGGCAGCATAGGAAGATCCCCAACTCACTTCCTCTCATGGACACAACACATCTACAGCTACATATGGAACATTTCCTTCTGAAAAGAACCTGAGAACTAGCCAAACAGCTACTCCACACAAGGATAAAAGGGCTACCTTGAGACCAGTAGGAGAGGCAGAGATGTAGTTTTACCAAAAACCCAACCCCTAGTGTGGCAACCCACCATCAGAGGGGTCTTACAAATACAGAACTCCCACTTGAGGAGCGATGGGTTTGTGCCCCAGAGCAAGCATCTCCAACCCTTGGGACATGCACTAGAGAGGCATACCCCCAAAGTCTGGCTCTGAAAACCACTGGGGCTTATATCCAGGAGAACCACAGGGCTACAGGAAATGATGAGTCCACTCTTAGCTCACATGCAGATTCATTTGTCCCAGGACCCAGTGCAAAGGCAGCAGTTTGAAAAGAGCCCAGACCATATGTGAAGGAGATTCACTGATAATCATAAAGCATCTACGAGAGGAGAAAAAGCCTGTTGGAAGTCTCTTCAGGGTTGGATGGCTGGCAGGAACCACTTTTACATTCTCTCTCTATCTTGCTAGTGCCTGTGCTGGTGGGCACAATTTTTGCACTCTCACTCTAATTTGCTAGCACCTGCTCATCAGAGTGGTACGTGAGTGCCCCTCTCCTGCACTGCTGCCCAGGCCCCCGGAGGTGGTGGGCAAGCAGCCCACCTTCCCAGAGCCAGCAGGCACATGCAGCCCACACACAGGATGCCTCTTGATCACGAGAGTCTGGCGGCCATGAGGGATTGTGTTTCTAGGCCCCATAGGTCTGAAACAATTGGGGGGACAATCAAGAACTAGGGCAAGGTTAAATGATAAGATTCATCACCCATACAGGGCCACCCCTCTAAGACTGGGAAACATAGGGTGCCTGGGTGGCTCAGTCGGTTAAGCGTCTGCCTTCAGCTCAGGTCATGATCCTGGGGTCCTGGGATTGAGTCCCACATTGAGCTTCCTGCTCAGCAGGGAGCCTGCTTTTCCCTCTGCCTCTGCCTGCCACTCCCCCTGCTTGTGCTCTCTCTCTCTCTCTCTGTCAAATGAATAAATAAAATCTTAAAAAAAAAAAGACGGGGAAAGATAGCTGTTTTGCCTAACACATACAAATAAGCACAGAGTGTCAAGCAAAATGAGGAAACAAAGGAATACATTCCAAATGAAAGAATAAGATAAAACCTTGGGGTGGGGGGAAACTTGATGAAACAGAGATAAGTAATTTACCCGACAAAGACTACAAATAATAGTCATGAAGATGCTCACTGAATTGGGGAAAAGAATGGACAGACACAGAGAGAACTTCAACAAAGAGATAGAAAATATAAGAAAGTACCAAAGAGCTGAAGAATACAATAACTGAACTGAAAAATACACTAGAGGAGTTCAACAGCAAACTAGATGAAACAGAAGAAAAAATCAATGATCTGAAAGACAAGGCAGTGGAACTCACCCAAATAGAGCAACAACAACAACAAAAGAGTTTTTAAAAGTTCAGATAGCTTAAAGGATCTTAAGGACAACATCAAGCAGGGTAACATTTGCATTATAGAAGTACCAGAGAAGAAGAGGGGGCGGGCAGAAAACATATTTGAAGAAATAATGGCTGAAAACTTCCCTAAACTGGGAAAGGAAACAGACTTTCAGATTCAGGAATCTCAGAGAGTTCCAAGCAAGATGAACCCAAAAAGACCCACACCAAGACATATTACAATTTAAATGTCCAAAGATAGGGGTGCCTGGGTGACTCAGTCGGTTGGGTGTCTGTCTGATTCAGCTCAGGTCATGATCTCATGGGTCATGGGATCCAGCCCCACCTCCGGCTCCCCAGTTAGTAGGGAGTCTGCTTGAGATTCTCCTCCTCTGCCCCAACCCCTGCTCACTCTCTCTCTCTCTCTAATAGATAAATACATCTTTAAAAAATAAAATAAAATGTACAAAGATAAAGAGAAAATCTTAAAAGCAAGAGAAAAACAACTTATTAGATACAAGGGTACCCCTATAAGACTATCAGTAGATTTTTCAGCAGAAACTTTGCAGGCCAGAAGAGAGTGGCATGATATCTTCAAAGTGCTGAAAGGAAAAAACTTCTAACCAAGAGAACTCTACCTGGCAAGGTTATCATTCAGAATTGAAGGAGAAATAAAGAGTTTTCCAGACAAGCAAAAGCTAAAGGAGTTCATCACCACTAAACCAGGCTCACAAGAAATGTTAAAAGG